TATATACGTTGAGTAAAATTATCCAAGGTAGGAAAGACGCCGGGCGTACGACATACTGTTTCTTCCTAGATGTACAAAAAGCCTACGACACCGTATGGCGCAATGGATTGTGGAAAAAGATGTGGGACATCGGCATCCGGGGGAACATGTGGAGGATGTTGAAAAAGATGACAGAATGCACAAGAAGTGCGGTGATGTTGGATGGGGAAATTTCGAAGTACGTGGATATACTCCAAGGAGTCGCACAGGGCTGTACGATGTCACCCACTCTTTTTAAGATTTACATCAACGATTTGATAAGGGCGGTTGAAGCAGTAAGACAGGGAGTCCAAGTAGGGGGAAAGAGTGTGTCCGGACTGATGTTTGCAGATGATTTCGTGGGGGTATCCGAAACACCAGAAGGGTTGCAAGAACAAATAGATGCGGCGGTAGGATACACCCGAAAATGGAGACTGTCGGCGAACGTAGGAAAATGCGCAGTAGTGGTCTGTAACGAAGACAAGAAAAATCCCGTAGAATTCAAATGGAAATGGGGGGAGGAAGAACTACCGGTAGTAGACAAGTATACGTACCTGGGAGTAGAGATTTCGAAGGAGTGCCCATGGGACGCACACATAGCGAAGTTGATTGGGAAGGGTAAAGCTCAGATAGGCAAGATGGACGAGATCCTTACGGACCCACACCTAGACACTAGGATTAAGAGGTGTATTCTCTTGAATGTGATTGTACCTAAGCTAGAGTATGCAGGAGAGGTATGGGAAGGTAACGAAAAGGCCGTCAAGCAGCTGGAAACGGTGCAGATGGCAGCGGCCAAGAAAATACTAGGATGTTCAAGTACAACGAGCAACACTGTATTGAGAGCAGAATTGGGAATGTACTCTCTTAAAACAAAGAGAGACATGCAGAAGTTGAATTGGCAGTACAAGGTAAGTAGAATGTCGGACGATAGACTACCAGCCATGGTTGACAAGGCAGCTTGGGGAAAAGCGACTCCAGGGAAGAAGGGAATCAGATGGGACAAAGTGGTAGAGAAGGTTTGGAAGGAGATAGGAGACGAGGAGGAGACGTTGGACACGGAAGGGTTCGGGGGGTTCAAGACGAAAGTCAAGGAGATGCTAGAAAGTAGGGAGGAGGCAACCCTTCGGAAGAAGGTACGAAGCGAAAACCACTTGGAGATATACGGGAAGTTGAAAGAAGGCATAGGGATGAAGACGTACTTGGACGGCCCCATGGACTACGCGAAAAAGCTGAAATTGCAATTTCGAGTAGGCGATCTGGACTTGCCAGAACGGAGGAAGAGGTATACCAGCCGTAAGAGAGAAGAAGAGGAGGATAGACACACATGTCCATGTGGCAAATCGGAGGAGAGTAGACCCCACATAGTTGGGGAGTGTGAGTTGTACAGGAAGGAAAGAGAGGATCTCGAGGAGGAAATGAGACAGAGAGGGTGTGACATGGACAAGTTTGGTAAATTAGACAACAGCGAAAAAACGATCGCGATCATTGGGGATAGATGGTGGGCACAAGAGGCCCTAGAGGACGGGGATAAGATGTGCAAGAAATTTTTATGTAGTTTGTGGCAGAAACGTAAAGAGCTCCCAAATGTTGGTGGTGTCTCTAGTAGGGGTAGGAACGGTGCTCCGTCTCGAAAGGGACGCGTGGTCAATGGTCAAATGACTAAGGCAAGCAACAAATGAGTACGCCCCCCCCCCCCCCCCCCCCCCCCCCCCTTCCCCTCCCTCCCCCCCCCCCCC